AGATAAAAAAGGTACTTCGGAGTTAAGACGGGAAAAGCTTTAATAAACTCAATTTGGACTTTTCGGTCGAGGATGTCGTCTTTTTGGTCTTGATCATCATCAAAATCTGCCAAATCATCAGTGGGGTCGGACAGTATTTGGCGGATAGATTCCTTTTGGCCACTTCTTCCAGTCCAACTAATTTCTTTCATGACATAAAATATAGATAAACAAAATAAATACATAAATACTTTTTTATTTACAGTAGTTATGATAGACTTAAAATGTTATATTTTGAAACAAATAAATGTTGTTTAATGTTTTTTTTTTCTTTAAACACTACATTACATAAACTGTAAAAAAAACATCAGCAGACTAAAATAAGATACAATGAGAAATTATGAGAACTGAACCCCACTGTTGCCCCCAGTCCCATGTTTCAAGGGCTATTCATAATACCCAGTAACTTTTAACACTTACCAAATCGCCATTTCCCAATACATTAACGCTTGATAATTACGAAAGTAATTTTTATTTTAAGGCGTCAACATGGAAAACTAAATACAAATTGACTTACCTGAAGTGGCCGAGACTTTGAAAAGTTTAGGCTTGAAAGTTTGAAATTGAGATAAAGAAAGTTAAAAATCTTTCTTGAAGTGATAAGGCTGCCAAAACGTTATCAAATAATGTTTTCTTACAGTTTCACCTCGCAGACAGCGATGTCCAAAAACTCAATTTTTGCCTGTTCCCAGCATGTCCACCTATGGTCTGTTTCATCTCGCTGTGCGTTTTAAACCAGAAGTGTTTCCGCATTTAGCTGTTATTGATATATTGTGGTTGATTTAAACAGAAAAACCGTGTACGTATGTCATAATGAAATGCACGCTGACTCAAGTTTCGATCGGCTGTCGATCATTATTCAATTATTACTCACCTTTAGCATGATCCCGACCATGTAGTGTGTTCACGTTTCTTCTTCAGTCGACAGTAGAATTCTTCCTGTAATAAATTACATCTATGAGGGTGTTAAATATTTATACTTTCGAGCGGAATAGTGGTTCATATTCTGCCGGGATATGTACGCCATCGGAGGTGGGATTTGATCCCGGATGCCCTTGCGACATCCTACGAAGGGAAGAAGATATCAATAGAAAATGAAATACAATATGGCATACAGGTTGTTCCAAAACCTGTGAAAGAACCGGGTCAGATGTATTCTGTACAAAACCCGAAAATTTCGGTCACCGGCATCTGAGAAAATACACGTGTTTTGTGCGAATAGAATTCATGCGATGGGGAAAAACTGACATATTATCTTCAAATGTGAAGCGACCGCACGATGGAAATCTAGGTTAGTAATCCTTCTTGACAAGAAAATTATAGTAGAACCAAGAAACTAGGTTTACAATAAGCTGCAATGTTGCAATTCTTGGAGAACACCAGGTCCACGCTTCTTAGTATCCTCATCATCATCAATTGCTACATCATCAGCGTAGAGAACTACGAAGCAGTCGTTTAACCAGGGGCGGTTATTAATAAACATGAAAAATAAGAATGATTCCAATATTGATCCCTGTGGGACACCTGCAATAATAGGAAACGAATTTACCGCCTTTGAAATAGCAGAAATAAACCAGTTCGAATAGAAACGTCCATAGGTGGTCAGAAATCAACAATATTTCACGTTTTCGGGGCAAGCTTTAGAATAAAGTCCAGCAGCAACTTGACGAGTTCCAGGGTTGTCGAAAGGCCTGTACACGTCACGAAGAAGGTTAAAAACCCCATGTGATATGACATTTTACCATAAGAATGTCTCGTGCGATAAAAAAAGGTTTTAATGGAGAAATCCTGATACCCGTGTCAACGGTTTATAGCGGACAAACGTGTTTTTAGTAGCTTACTACGTAAGAGTCTTTCTACAAAGGGTTCGATTTCAGATGGACCTAGCCAAAGTTAGATAATAGAGGAACCAAACTTCCGCCAATAGCAGCAGGTGACTACGGACCTTGCTTCGTAAGATTTACTACTTGTGTCGATCCACGATTTCTTCAAGAAGAAAATAAAAACACCGAAAGGGCTTACACAACCTACGTTTACTTAGTAGTGTAGTAAGAGTAGTTCAGTAAGAAACTGGCACTCTGCACTCACGGAATAACATTGAATTTGGGGTAGGTAACCTAACCTTAACCCTACGTAGTCTAACATAAATTGTACGAAACGCAAACCTTAAACTAACGTAACCCATATCCTAATCCTATACCTTAACTATATCTAATCTAACCTAACCATTCCTAATCCTAAACTAACCAAATGAGCATTTTCCGATAACACGAAATCGATGACGCGAAGTATGGTCACTCACTGAAAATTTATGTATCAGGCCAAAAACATAGTCATGTTAAAATTGATTAATAACATTATGCACCAAATATTTTTCGACAACTATCACAAGGGGCTGAAAAAACTGGCTGAAAGATGGCTAATGACAAGTCCCTCAATTTTTGTTTTTCCAGTATTTCATCAAGTCTTGACGACAATTTGGCGGGCAATAAATATTATTTATCAATGTTATAGAATTTTAAGTAGAGTTACAATTGATCTGGTTGTATCACTTTTCCTTTTTCTCGTCGGAAAAATATTTAGTTGTTGACTTTGGCACACTCTGCCATATTCAAACAATATACGTTTAGTAAAAGGTTTTCCTAACCTAACATAAGTCTACCTAACCTAACTGATCCGCCACCCAAAGCCTAAACTAACGTAAATCCTATACTAACACTAATTCTAACCTTAACAGTACCTAGCCTAACCTAACCGAATTTTTATTTTTCAAGTATATCGTTCCAGTCTTGACCGCAATTTGGAGGGCGATAAAAATTATTTTCCGATGCTAAAGAATTTTAAATAGGACAGGTTTGGTTGGATCAAACTGTCGTTTTTCTCGTCGGAAAAACGTTTAATTGCTGACTTAGGCACACTCTGTGATAATAAAACAGTATAAGTTTGGTAAAGTTTTATTAAACTAACCTTAACTCTAACCAGCCTAACCTAACTTGTCTGTAACCCAAAGCTTATACTAACCTAACCTTTATACTAGCCTAAAACAGTACCTCACCTATCCTCACCATTTCTAACCTATCCACAATTTCAGTAATTTATTGTTTTAGTTGTAATGACGATTAAAAATATATCAAATGACTCGTATTTTAATACAAATATGTATCTAATAATAAAAGCTACATCTTTTAGCAATAAATGGGGGATTAAAAAAGTCTAATCTTAAAAGTCGTGCAGTGACCAAATAAAAGTTCCTTTGGGTGGGAAAGAGATTAAATAGAGTCTTAAACGTTAAAATGAAGGTAATAAACGTCTAGAAAAACGGAATCGTTATTTAGACAGATCGCGTGAATTTAACCCTATGTGTGTGCGATGTGAAAGTCCGCCGAACGTTTTAACAAATCTTTTATGCACGCAATCTAACATATACTTGTGTGTGTGTGTGTGTGTGTGTGTGTGTCTTTTAAACCGGACAACAAAACCACCGGCGGAAAGTATCAAATTTAACACGATTTTCATTTCCCCTCCGCGTTTGATGTGAAATGTCACGTTTTTAATCCCGTCAATGGACAGTCTAAATATAGCACGGACTAGAGCGGACCCGCCTAGAGAAAACGTAGCGAAAGTGGACCATTTACACAAACAAAAAATGGGGGACAAATTGCTTCTAATTATCTGTCACAATTAGGCAAGTTTTGGGTTGTAACTAAAACGAGTGTATTTTTGAATTTCTTAATCTTCCTATATNTGGTGTTTGACAACATTACAATTGACAGAATTGTTCATTATCAGGAGTGAGAAAATCTTTTGTTATAGGAGAATTTGTTGCCATATATATTTTTTTATATTCAATTTCAGCATCGCATCGAAAGCAGTAAAATATGTGCTTACGCTACAGAACAAGGATGGAGCTGGAAGACCCATTTTCTCTATACCTACTGCTAATTTTCACTGTTTTTGTTTTAAAATAATTAGTTTTAAAACACAAAGTATAATAAGTATTTTTTTAAAATTGATAAACGGAGCAACAAGACCCTAGGAGCCAAAGAACATTAAAAAAAAATAATTCAAGCACATTTTTAAGGTAGTTTCCTGCCTTTGTGTATTTCAATATTAAATGAGATTAGGTATAAAATGTTCGACAAATCAAAAGACGCTTTCCGTAAAGTAAGCCGAAAAACTTTTATTTCGAACAATCAATTCCAATTGTTTTAAGTGCCTATGAAGTCCTTAGATAGGAATTTTCATAGGAAATGAAATTGACATTTTTACGTGGATCGGCTGGGGCCTGTTTTCTTCTCCTGTCCTTTATTCCACTTAAAAATTCCTAACTTTTCTGGTTTTTATCCTAATGCAACGGGATTAGACTGTGTCCAAAAGCAGAATTTTTCTCTTCGATCTTTGTCAACAAAGTTTAGATTTTATGTTATTATGAGCGAGAAAAATAATAATGAAATCAATAAAAACAACCTGAAACGTTTTATTTTACATTCCTATTTCTAATTTATTTGCAAAAGCACAATTTATGCCATTACATGTAGTTTATAGGCTTATAAATATCTATAAAATTTCATGTCGATCAGTGGAGTTGCTTCAAAGCTATTTTTGTGCTTTTCAGACATAATTCTAGGTTAATTTGAAATGTGTGGTGAGTAGTGACCGTTAGTCGATATTTATTCAGATATCGTGAGATGCGGTCTGGTGTGATGTACGTATACTAGGTAGAAATACTTTGATTGAATATAATAAAAAATATATTTTGCATTAAATAAATTCATTTTTTCCACATCCTACATGTATTTGTTAAGTGTAAACAATGTTTGTAAATCCCAGGCCCTGAAGATGATTTCAATAAAGATCGAAACGTTGATTTTGATTATTTTAGTAACTATTTCAAGGATTATAGCTTTCGTTGGGTTTCAGCTATCAGGTTCTCCAATTTCGGTAGAGCTATGGGGGGAAAGATGTACGCCATTAGAACAAAGATTTTGAATAAGGTCCAATTTAGTAAACTTTTAGACTCCGATGTGATACGTTTGAGTTGCGATGACTTTGATATTCACCTGGTCCCTGTTTATCTGAGCTGTTCCTCCTGGGAGGGGGACCTGGAGATTTTGAGGGATGCCTTGGGTTATACGCCTAGTTTAAGATACATCTTAATGGGAAATTTTAATGCAAGGATTGGTGAAGCTCAATCCCTGACAGAGGATCTTATTCTTGAGAATGATAGGTGCTCTCACAGCAGAAAATCCAAGGATGGAATCATCAATGCAAATGGGAGAAGTTTTCTAGACTTTTGCAGCGATTTTGGCCTTTTAGTCTCGAATGGACGTTTTGACTCTGACTCCGAGGGGGAATTGACCTATTTAAGTACCGTTGGTTGCACAGTTATCGATTACTGTTGTGTCTCGTTGGATTGCATTTCCTTGATAGATGGGTTTTCTGTTTTGCCGGAATATTTTTCTGATCATCTTCCTCTGAGTTTGAGCCTCTCTTGCAGGACTTTAACGGAAAGGACACCTCCTGAGGAACTTCCTAAACTGTCCTGGAACCCTAAGTTTGCGGAGGTATACAGAGAAAGGCTCGGGGGGTTATTGCCTGAAATGGATTGCTGTGAAGAGAATCATCAGTTACGTTTGAATGCACTTGTTGCTGCTATAAAATCGGCCTTCCCAATCCCTAATCCCGCTTTTTCTATGCTTCGTGCTTATAAAAACCCCTGGTTTGACAACCACTGTTGGAGACTTAGAGGGAAGTTGTTTGCACTTCTTAACTTATTTCGTAAATCAAGTGATGAAAGTGTTTGCCGTGCTCTTCTACATGCAAAACGTGAATTCAAACAATTATGTTTAATAAAGAAGAAAGAGTTTTACATTTCGTCATGCAAGCAATTGGGCGCTGCTAGTGACTCTAGGGAGTTTTGGAGGTTGGCAAACAGTTTTAAAAGAGGGAGCTCGTGGAGCTCAAACAATATATCTCTTCAGTCCTGGAAGTCATATTTTGAGTCACAGTTAAATCCATCCGTCCTCATAAACCACATTTCTTACTGCGAACCGTATATTTTGGACCCGTTTCTGGATAGTCCTTTTTCATACGACGAACTTAAGAGTGTCATCTCTCAGTTGAAAAATAATAAGGCTCCTGGACAAGAGGGTGTTCCGTTTGAATTTTACAAAAACGCCCCTGATTCCTTTTTGATCAAGTTATTGTCTTTATTTAACGCTATTTATGAATCTGGGGTGGTCCCTTCATCATTCGGGAAATCTATCATTTCTCCACTTTACAAGAAGGGTAACCGTGATGAGGTTGCCAACTATAGGGGAATTTCTTGTATAGATTAGGTGGCCAAAATCTTTTCATCACTTTTACTGCGGAGAATTCAGGCCCATGTACAGTCAAACGAGCTACTGAGTGAATGCCAGATGGGGTTCAGGAAAGGATATTCTACGGCTGACAACTTGTCCACACTAATAAATATAATTAATTTAGCGACTAATAAGGGCCGTAAAGTGTATTGTTTCTTCGTTGATCTTAAGGCCGCATTTGACAGAGTCGATAGAAGAGCGCTTATTTTCAAACTACTAAATGCAAAGTTTTCAACTAAGATTATTGGTGTCCTCAAGTCACTTTTTGAATCGGCTGCATCTGCAGTAAGAGGCAGAGATGGTGTGTCCGACTTCTTCGATGTTGGTATGGGGGTCAGACAGGGATGTGTCCTTAGTCCAATTCTGTTTGCTCTATTTCTGGATGACCTTCCGTCGGCACTGGAGTTTGGCATTCGTATAGGGAGTGTTGTCATTAAAATTCTCTTGTACGCCGACGACATTGTTTTGATTGCGGATTCGCCGGTTGCCCTGCAAAGAAATATTAAAAAGCTAGAGGAGTATTGCGATCAATGGAGCCTGACGGTGAACCTTGACAAGTCAAAGATTGTGGTTTTTCGTGCGGGTGGAAGGTTAGGGAAGAATGAGAGATGGGTGTTGCGGAATAGGAGAATTGAAGTGGTGAGCGAGTATTGTTATCTGGGAGTAACGCTTACCCCAAAACTGTCGATGGTCAAACATGTAAAGAAGAAAGCCCCGGCAGCGAAACTGGCTATAAATAAGGTTTGGTCTGGCCTAATTTCAAACGACCTCGTACCAATAAAAAGTAAATATCAAATTTTCACAGCCGTTTGTCGAGCAATTCTTTGCTATGCAGGTTTTTTTGTTCGTAAGTTGTTGCAGGGTAAACTCATCAACTCCTAATTACATGTTGTATATTGAGACTGGCATGGAACTGTTGTTTGTTTATTCTTTAAGGTTACATTTTAAGTTTATTTTGAAATCGCTTCAAGCTCCTGATTCTCGCCTGGCAAAAATTTCATCACTTGAAGTTATTAAGGGTAACATATCCTGGTTCAGATCCTGGAATTCTCTTGCGGAGAGGTATAATGTGGCTCGGTTCTCTTTGGATAATTTTGCAGCATGGTCTGAAATGTTTTCCAATCTTCTTCATATTATGGGGGCTCGTCATCGAGAGAGTTGTATTTCTCGTGACGTGGACTCGAATAGATTCCAAATCTACAAGGAGTTGAATCATTCCCTAACTCCTTGCAATGTTTTTTCTGCTCCAGCAAATGATGTTCCGTTCTCTTTTTTCCGCTGGTTGTTTAAAATTCGAGGGGAGTTGTTGTTCCTGAATTTCAGGCCTTGGGTTGGGAGTACTCCTGCCACTGCAGTGTGCTCTCTATGCAACTCAGGTGATCGTGAGGATGCATTTCATTTTCTCGCTAGATGAATGCTCGGTCCTGAACGAATTGAGGTATCTGTACGTGGGTAAGGGTTTTCTGACGAGGGAAGAGCTCATAGCCCTTCTGAACGGCTCCGATTGCCGGGGTCTTGTTGATTTTGCTCGGAAAGCCTGGTTTTACAGATATGAATACATTGGAATGTAGGGAATTAATATTCTGTTCGTCTTATTTTGTTTCTTTTTTCTTTTTTGTTTGTCTTTTTTTATTTTTTTTTATTTTGTTCTGTTTGTTTTAATAAATATAATTTGTAATTTGTGGGCTTCTAAATGCGAATTCTGTTGGCCTGTGGGGGACCCTATGTAAGTTAGAATCCTTTTGTTCTTTGAAGTGTCATTTTTATTATTTTCAAAGTTTATCGCAATTCAACCTTGTAATTTGAAAATCCTGTAAATAATTGTAACCTCTGAAGTTGATATTTTTATATATATATATATTTTAAATTCTCCTTTTCTCATAATTATATAATTATGTATATTCTTGGGATAGTAAAGCACTCCGAACTCTGGCTGACGGTTTTAATACCATGCCATAATAATACTGTTTTTTATTTTTAACTTCAAATTTTTTCATTTTGTAAATAAAGTATATCTATCTATCTATCATATAAAAATTAATTTCAATTAAAATTAAAAATTATATAAAATTTAGTACAAAAACAAATGATTTTTTCAATTAAATATTTCTCTTTTTGCATGAAAAATAATCGGGCTCTTAAAAACTAGATGCATGGAAATTAATTAAAATTGAAATTAAAAATGAGATAAAATTAGATGTTAAAATATAGGATTCTTATTTTACAGAATGGTTAAAAAAAGTTACTAACAAAACTCAAATATGAACGTATATAAGGTTTTTCTGTCAAACCTTTTAATATTTAATGTTATATATTTCATATAATTTATAATTTTAATTGTAATTAATTTTCATAATCTCTTAAGAGCCCAATTATTTTATTTTAAAACAAATTCAGAAATATTCAATTTTTTCAATACTTTAAAGGTAGGGTTAATTTGAAGTAAAAAAAAAGTTGATTTGAACGTAAATAAGCCTTAATTTGAGGTTAAAAATGGTTAATTTGAAGTTAAAAAAAGGAATAATTTGAATGTGAAAAAAATTATTTTGACGTCAAAAAGGGTTAATTTGACATTAAAAATGGTCAATTTGTAGTTGGAAAAAGGGTTAATTTGACATTAAAAATTGGCAATTTAAGTTAGAAAAGGGTTAATTTGACGGTAACATTGAAAAAAGTGTTAATTTGACATTAAAAATTGGTAATTTAAGTTAGAAAAGGGTTAATTTGACGGTAAAATTGAAAAAAGGGTTAATTTGACATTAAAAATTGGTAATTTAAGTTACAAAAGGGTTAATTTGACGGTAAAATTTAAAAAATGGTTAATTTGACATTAAAAATGGTTAATTTTAAGTTGGAAAAAGGGTTAGTTTGACATTAAAAATGGTCAATTTGTAGTTGGAAAAAGGGTTAGTTTGACATTAAAAATGGTCAATTTGTTGTTGGAAAAAGGGTTAATTTGACATTAAAAATTGGTAATTTAAGGTAGAAAAGGGTTAATTTGGCGGTAAAATTGAAAAAATGGTTAATTTGACATTAAAAATGGTTAATTTTAAGTTAGAAAAGGGTTAATTTGACATGAAAAATGGTCAATTTGTAGTTGAAAAAAGGGTTAATTTGACATTAAAAATTGGTAATTTAAGTTAGAAAAAGGTTAATTTGACGGTAAAATTGAAAAAATGATTAATTTGACATTAAAAATGGCTAATTTGAAACACAAATGAGTTTTGTTATACTACTTTGATTTTAACAACAACAATACTAATATAGCGGTTTATAAAAAATCGGTGAATTAATAAGCTTTCAAAATTTGATTCTACAAATGATCATTGTCATGGTTTATGAGTAATTGCATATTTCATAAGTGAACAATACTCTGATAAAGAAAGAATATGACACCACAAGAGCAGCACCACACTTTATGCCCTGAAGAACTAATATGAACAGTTTGATTGAGTTGGTTCCAGGGTATCGATTTCACCCTTAGCTCTCACTGATAAGAATGATTGAATTGATGTATATTTTCCACATGCTTATACCTTCAAGGGTCGTTGAGAAATATGAAAAAAAGCTCGATGGGTTCATCTTAATAAAGACCTTGAATAATTATGCTTGATGGCAACGTTGGGTCCCCTGTTCCGATTTTTGGAAAAGTCGTTTTAGAGTGAACGAATTTATTAGCTAATTTGTTGAAGTCGTGAGGAGCGGTCAAGAATGAGGTAGTTTAGAAAAACACCTCTAAAATTATAAGTATAACAGGGTTGTTTTTAAGGAATATTTTGGTTTGTTGTGTTGTATTGTGATTATTTGTGGTGAAGTGTTTTTAGTGATTTGTAATTGTGTTGATCCACTCGGCGCGAATTGTGTCTTTCTCATCATCCGTGTTTTTGCGGTTGGCAGATCGGATTTGGTAGAGGGTATTGCAAATTTGGGTGCTCCTAGTGATAGGTGTTTTTCTAAAGTACATCATTTTTGACCCTCCTCACGACTTCAACAAATTATGCAACAACAGGTCACTAAGAAACACACATTCTCACCCGACAGGAACAACACAACCAACATCGGTTTTTACGAACATAACACCTACAAACATGGACATCAAGCCACTGCCACACTCAAAGGCAACACTTTCACACAACACCAATATGACACCACAAGAGCAGCACCACACTTTATGCCCTGAAGATGACCCGAATAAAAGTCGAAACGTCGGGAAAAAATTAAAAAGGTGTTTTTCTAAACTACCTCATTCTTGACCGCTCCTCACGACATCAACAAATTATGAAACAACAAGCGAAGAAATACACGAATATTTATTAGCGTGTGTTGTGCTCAGTGCACCATCGACACTCAATTAGATTACTTAGAATTGATAGTATATGTGATGGGGGCATATCGAGTGCTCGGGGCGGCATCAGGCATGAGTGAATGTTATACACTGACAGGCAAAAAATTCCACCCACTTATAATATAACTTGATTTGTATATATTTTTATACATTAATCCAAGTTAATCAAAGTTTCACGTTTTTTAACGTTTAAAAAAGTAAAGAAAAAAACGTAAATTGCAAGGAAACAACAGTACGGACAGTAACAATTTGTTTTAATTAGATTTTTAATTAACCTTTCAATATCACGTATTTCCTCCTCTTTCCTTAATTACATCTCGATTCCTCGGCATACGTTCTTCCAGTCTGGAAATGTCTCTTTGCTGGAGGTTGACCATTCTTCACGAAGAGTCCTTTCAAGATCGTGCGGTGTATAAGGAGGTGATGGACGTAATTCGTCTATTGAGGTTATAGCAAAAATGTTCGATGGGGTTCAAATCTGGAGCTGGCCAGAGTAAGACCATGTTATGCCGTTGAAGGTACGCTTGTCCTATGCGAGCGACATGTAGACGGGCATTATCGTGCAGTAGAATAGAATTGTCGCTGATTTCAACGAGTATAGGCAACGCATGATGTTCCAAAATTTCATCCACATGCCGAGTGGCCATGAAAGACCCTCCACAACAACAACCAACTCTGTGCGACTCCTCATTGAGAGCCCCGCCCACATCATCACTGAGCTACGTTGAAAAGGTTGACTCTGGGAAAAATTACAGGCCTTACATTACCTTACATTTCGCCCACTCCACACTCTGTCACGCCCATCTGGAGATCGTAGAGCAAATCCTACACTCGTCTGTAAAAAGTACAGTAGACCAATCGTCTAGAGCCGTGCAACTCAGTGGGTTCTGGTCAATTCTGGTCCTCTTACGGGGCGAAAAGCCATCAGTCCATACTGATTTAATTTTCTTCAAGCAGTGCTTTCGGAAATTTGGACAACTCGAACTTCCTGGTGCTGATGAATCGCTTGAACAACATAAGGTGCATGGAACGTCCATCATCAACAAGTGCCACACCACGCGCAACATCCCAGCACTAAGTGGCATTTTTAAGTTTAAAAATTGAAATTAAGAAAACAAAGATGAAAACTAAACAGAAATTGCTTCAGAATTCAAATGAGTCTGAATAAATATTTTAAATGCCGTAAAATTTGAACATTGAAAAATCATTTATCCTTGTTTTGGATTAAGGGTTAAGTGTGTTTACGTCTAATTGATATTCCCAATTTAAAACAGCATAAACAAATATTTATTGATAAAACCAATGAAACAAATTAAGGGCACGATTTTCTTTTATCGAAAAAAAAAATCAATTGGGTGGGATTTTTGCCTGTCAGTGTATACATTAAAAATTGTATGCGTTGGGGCTGAAACGTCAGCAGCTGTTGACAGGCCCTGAAGCTAATCTCGACGGCGGGACGGATAAAACTTCGTAATGGTAAAAATCGATTCTATCTGTGGGGAAAGCTATTTCAATTGAGGTCATAGGATATTGACAAAATTTTGTTAATTTTCGAATAAAAACAAAGATTTATGTTGATTTATTTGTGAAAATAGAAAGGTTGATGAAAGTGAATCTTGTTTATTTGTGTACAAACGGATATTGGATAGGTTTGATGTTTTTTTTGTCTATAATTGATGTGAAAAGGCCTCGGCGAGCGGTGGCTGCCCGTAGTGAGCACGATTTCACTTGTATTGATAAAAATAATTGTATTTGTGGAAAGGCGGAGTGCGTTGACTGGGGGGTGGGAGGGACAAAATGGAGGGGTGAACCCTGGGTTGGAGGATTGTGCGCAGGGTAACGCCTCCGGAGCCTCCCTCTACCGGACCTCCTTCCACAAACTTCTGCCGGTCCGCTCCACGCCATTACCAGTCGACAGCTCCGACGGTTCCATATTTCTGGCACGTGTTCCCGGGAGAATACACGCTTGTTATGTAGAACGATCCGAAATGCCTCGGCCGTGCCGGGAGACTTACGGGGATCAGAAGCCTCCCTACTCGTACATATCTCTGACAGCGATGGCCATATGGAGTTCGCCGGACAAGATGCTACCCCTCGCCGATATCTACAGGTTCATCAGCGAAAGATTCCCCTATTACAGGAACAACACCCAAAGATGGCAGAACTCTCTCAGGCACAATCTTTCGTTCAACGACTGCTTCGTCAAGATACCTAGGAGGCCGGACAGGCCTGGGAAAGGCGCCTACTGGACTCTCCATCCCGCCGCGTTGGACATGTTCGAGAACGGCTCGTTCCTGAGGCGGAGGAAGAGGTTCAAACTGCCCAAGCCGAAAGAGCTGGAGGCGGCTTGCAAGGCGGCGGAAGAGGCGGCCCGGCCCAAGCCTCCTCCGAGTAAATCCTTCAGCATAGAGAGCATCATGTCGGACAAAAGGACGCCCGAACGCCACCCTCAAGCGCTGCCGGCACCGGCGTCGATCGCTTCCATGGAACCGCGGCTTCCGCCTCCGCTGCCGCCCCCGCTCGCCGCCCCCGAGAGCTACGACACCGCGGCCGCCGCAGCAGCAGCCGCCGCCGCCACACTCTACGCCGCCGCCCTCCACCGGCTCCTGCCGCCTCCTCCCTATCTTCCGATACCGCACCTTCCACCCACCACGAGTAAGTACGAAACCCATTCACTTCAAAAACTCGTTTAAAATTTTTTCCCATTCAAAAAATAAAAATAAATATATTTCCAATAGTAAACAGTGTTTTAGTGACAATTAAATTCTTTGACACTAAACACTTGATATCTCCCGCGGCACTTTCATTGGAAAAAAAATTAAAGTTCAAAAGCACAACAGTCACTATTATACTCAATAATTTTCAGTCTAATAAAAGTGCCATTTTTTTGTTTCAAAAACAAACTGGACGCAGGGAATCTTCCCAGGTCACTGAATTTAAACCTAAAAACAACCCTCGTTTCATATTAACGTAATTTCTATATTTTAGACGAAACAATTTAAATTTATTTATCAGGATAAGACATTTAAAAAAAGTCTATCCGTTGTTATTTTTCGAAATAAACTAGTATCTTAGATTTTCCGTGTTTTTTGATTTATCAATAAATTATTTTCCCGAAAAGAGGTCATAAAACATATATATANTATAATGCGATTGAAAATATAATTGTACAAGCTGGGCAATTCTTTTAACAAATTCTTTGAAAAAGTTACATGGAAGTTATATTTCCTGTAAAACCTCTTTTAAATTTATATAAAATAAACAGAAACAATTGCTTAATAATAACCAGAGTAAGTCGAAAAAAATAACAACGATCAATAAACAGTTTCTTTTTTAATCGCCGAGTTTTGAACAAAAAAGAAAAAAATATATCAACCGGTTATGATTCTAAAAAATTGCCCATAAGGTTTTTTTAAAAATTTAATTTGTACTCAGTATATTGGAAAATGAAGCAGGACCCTCGTATTTATATTTATTCTATTATTTCGAGCGTTCATTTCCGTAAATTTCAAGATAAATTGGAGAGAACGAGATTCTAATTTTTTCGTAAGACTTTCCATATTTATAACATATACGTTTTATTTCTTTGTATTTTACCTATACCTTTCTATGAAAAGTTTATTGAAATGTTTATGTACTAATAATGGGAACAATAATAGTTTAAAGAGGAAAATATGTACGAATTTTCATTGTGAATGGTTGCCGTATGAACTGAAGTGTGCTCAGTTCGATCATTTATATTTACACCTCGGTTTTTAAAACAGTAGTAAAGATTAAATTAATATTTTATGGGGAAAATAAATTTAACATAGTCACACATGAACAAAGATATTACACGGGTAATCTAAATTAAAAAAAAAAAAAAAAAAAAAAAGCACAAGGAAGTAAGGTACGTTTTGTCCATTACGAAAAATGCCTGTTTTTTAAAATATTTTTTGTGAACGTATGTTTACTTTATACCGTAACAGTATGATTTTCATTTGGAAATTGATTATAATAATTTGTTTAAAGTATTACAACTTGTGTTGTTTAGTGATTTTTGGCCGGATGGGCTGAACTTTTCTCAGTTCGACTATTACGGATGACCTCGGTTTTAAGATAGTAGTAAACATTGCATTATTATCGTTTTATCGAGGAAAAAAAATTTAACATTGTTACATGATGCACATGAAAAAATCAGCGGTTGAGATTGAAAATAAAGTTAATAAAGTTGTTACTGACAAACTTTCCACCAATTTTAAGGTCATCGTCAAGGCCAAACAATTTTAAATATGTCTACAAATTGACATTAGTTTTTAATCGATGATTTCGAATTACTTTGAAGAACGACTCAGTCGGCAGTGCCAACATTGCCAAGGACTCGGAATTGGGAGGAAAACATTTTGGAGAAAACTTTTCCTTTCAATTTATATAAAATAAACAGCAACAGTTGTTTAATTATAACCGAAATAAGCAGGAAAAAACACAATAAGCAGTGTATTTTTAATGACCGTGTTCTGAACAAAAAAACGAATAAAATTATATCAGCCGGTTATGATTCTAAAACATTGTTTATTCCATAAGCTTTTTTCTAATATTTAATTTGTATTCTGTATATTGAAAAATGAAGCAGAGACCGTACGTATTTATTTTTATTTTAATATTTTTTATTAAAAAATTTTTAAAAAAAGTTATACTTAACAACCTTGCAGTTTACGCGCTGGTCGATAAATTCTAAGAAAGAAAATTCGTAGGCTTGTGAATTTCATTTTTAAAAAAATCGGTTTTCTTTTTTAACCCTTATAAAATTTAATTGTTAATTGTTAAACATTTAGAACGAGAGAAACGGTCGATTTCCTGTATCCGTCGGTTACACTGTTACTCGGGTGGGGGGGTGGTGAAATATCGTGTAATAAATAATTATAAAACACGAAATGAAAATGTAGGTTCTATAAATAATGAGAGCCATTAAATCGGTAAATACGGCGGAGGTTTAAAAAAATGAATAAACAAAAAAGAAAATTTATCATCTACGATCCAAGCGATAACGAGTCGATGTAAAAATAGACCAGAAAAAAATCACTGTTAATTAGGAAATTTTTGGATTGAATAATAAGAAAAAAGAGTATAAATAAATGAAAATTATAATTTAAATTTGAAGACAAATTGGAGTGAACGAGATTCCAATTTATGGTAACATCGTCCGTATTATAATATACATTTTTCATTTTTTGTACGTAAAATTTTCTATGTAAAATTTAATAAAATGTTTATGTAATGATAAGGGGAACAATAATCATTTAAATATGTATAAACATCTGTTCACTTCGGTTTTAAAACAGTAGTAAATAGCTTTTTTTTATTGTGAAAGCAAATTTAACATAGTCACACACGAACAAAAAAATTAGACTTGTCATCTAAAAAATAAATAAATAAATACTACTAATAATCAAATTATGCAGCACAATGAAATAATTTCAAAACTGTTTTGTTCATTAAGAAAAAACCTGTATCTCATATTTTTATGAACGTATGTTTATTTTATGCCGTAACAGTATGATTTTCAGTTGGAAATGAATTGTAATATTTTTTAAAGTCTAAAAACTCGAGTTAATTTGAGATTTTTGGCCGGATGGAGTGAATTTTTCTCTGTTTGATCATTAAGGATGACTTCGGTGTTAAGACAGTTGAAAACATTTGATTAATATGTTATCGAGAAAAACCAGTTAGCATAATGAAACATTAACATAACAAAAATTAGACGAGGGCCATCTTAATTTTTAAAAAACTCAAATTATACAGCACAATGGAGTTATTGCAAAACTGCTCTGTCTGTTATGAAAAAAATTATTGTATTTAAGCTTTTTTTTAAATTAAAATGTATTTCTTTAATGTTGTATCAGTGAGGTTTACATTTGGAAATTAATTATAATATTTTGTTTAATGTTGATTTGTGATTTTTGGTCGGGTGTACTGAACTTTTCTCAGTTCGATCATTAAGGATCACTTCTGCTCCCGCTCGTTCCTGCTTCAAATTACCAGGGTATTTTTATATCCGTGAGATGATGCTTTACAGATAAATATTTTATTTATGAAAAGATGAGATAATCATTTGCGGTAATGCGTCCAAAGTAAGAAATAGGATAAAAAGAATGACTGTGAATTTAAATTATTGGGATTATAGGAAAAAGTTAATTAATTGTACAGTATTGCTGTCGTTGGTTTCAAATATTAAAAAAGTGAAAGAGGAAATCGGGCGAAAGACGATTATCCTCGCATCTATTCAAATTTCTTTAAATTCCGAAATTTTTTCCAAGAAGGAGAAAAGTCGGAAAAAATATTCCTGCACTGAGAAAACCAGCATAATTTACCCTTGTTAATTACCATGGCGTAAGAAAAATGAAGTCTGAGTGATGAAATATAAAATAAACTAAGATCATGAGAACTTTCCGGATACAATACATGAAAGGAGTAGGCGATGGCAAAACAAACATTTTCTGGACAAAAAACGTTGAATTTTGTCCATTATAAATATTTATTTGATTATATTAATATCAAGATCAATAAAAACAAAGCGAAAGATTTATTCGTTATGAAGGGAGACCAGAGTGCGATCCGGCCCGGTGACGCTGTGCGAGCAGTAAAGAACGCTGTGGGAAAGCGTTGGCAGCGTCAGTGGGCCGGGTCGTCCGAGAAGCACCTGCGAGTTAAGGGCACGACTGAACGATGGCCTCATCACAATCCGAAACGAAATGGAAGGATCGTGTTAACTCGGTTGAGGATTGGCCATACCCATCTGACACACGGACATCTGCTTCTGGGTCAAAACCCGCGCAGGTTTCCCGGTTGTAGAGAAAGTTGCTCAGTGTGTCTCATCTTGTCGAGGAGTGCCATGCCTTGGCCCCTACAGAGAGCGAGTAGGCATGAACCTCGATATAAAAACGGTACTCGGGCGAGCAAGTAAAATGTTGGATCCCCTATTCCGCTTTTTAAGAGAAACGGGGTTGTTTCCTCACTTGTAAATAGTGTATAAAACGTGAATATCTGTGTAAATAAGTGTATCTGTGTTGTGTTTTATTGTGTCGTGTATTTATTTGTAAGTAATTTATTTATTTGTTCGTTGTAAGTCGGTGATCTTTTAGACTGTAGGGCCGATGGCGGAATATTGAGAACCCCATCGGCCATAACAGTGCAGTGCCAGGGGGCTGAAATGACTTTATTGTTGGAAGCCCCCGGGAAAAAAAATATAAAAAAATAAAAACAAATCTATTAGAAAGTTAGAAATACGGTACAGATTTGCTGAGCGGGTAAGAAATTGTTCAGTTTAGAAAATAATTTTTTTTGTATTTTTTCGTTGTGCTCAAGTAAGCTCAAGCTGGTGATGGACAAGTTCGGTCATTTCTGAACGTTTTGGTCTATTATCAAATATTTCGGCCTATCAGACCCGTTTCGGCTTCTCTCCATCTTCAGTGCTGGGTTTCAGCCAAACTTATGAAAACTGAATATGAGTGAGAAGCCGAAATTGAGAATAACCTGAATTTTTGCATATACGACTTAGGTCAAATCACTTCGAACCAGCGCGAAATCGTTTTTACGAGACGTTACCTTAAAAAAAAAAAGGTTTTACCAAAGATCAAAGAATAAACCGAAATCTGTGAAGTATAACACTTTATGAA